GACCTGAAAGGATCCAAACCATCCTCCTAAAAAGGGGTGGCATTAATATACCACTGACCTCTTTGAGGCTATTTATTATGTCTGTCTCCAGTAACAATTACCCTGGGATTCGGAAGTAGCCATACTTATCTTCGAAACATGAATATCGATCAATTTCTAACGGTGAAAACTGCCGAACTGCAGACATCACGTCTGTCCTATCTAGAACTATGAAGGTGATCGTCAAGGGAGATACAGACCGCGCGACAACTAACTAATCACTTCCTACAGCGTAACTCGGTATCGTGCAAGGCTATCGATGCACTACTCGCTTTCTTGACTGTACAGATGACGTCACAGGTAAACAAGACCCTGGCTCCCCTCTAACAACTCTTTTCTTTGACTTCAAGCAAGCCTTTGACAAGGTGCCTTGCAAACGACTGATCGTTAAGTTGATATCATTTCAGTGTTGCTACGAATATGCAATCAGCTTGTCGAAACGACCTCTGATAAGACTGAGAAATTTCTTTTTCAGAGGAAATGAACTACATAAGATAAACGTTTCAAATTAAGTTGTTCGCTGAATTAAAATAATCACGAGTAAATGAGGAGAAAAACAGGCAGAGCGTCAAATGGTTATCGTTTTCATTAGAAGGAAGAACTATACACAAAAAACCACTGTAAAACAAAGAATTCTTAAGGTATGGAGAAGTAAGATGAATTTCTTAATATTTTCGGATGATAAAGCATACAGCATAGATGTTATAGATGATCATATCAAAAAGGCTGAGAATTGGCTCATGGACATAGATGTATACATACCACTTAGGAAAAATCTTGTTTAAAACTCTAACAGCCATATCACTGAGCTTTCTAAAGAAAAATAATTAGCAAAATGAGATCAATACGGAACGACTTCTAATGAGGCTGTTTTTCTCATGTTCTTAGAGCACACTGAAATTGCGAAGAATAAAACATTATCTTCCAGACGAATGTTTTGCTTCTATGGGAAAATGAAGAGAACTGTCGAGTGCTGGTCTTTCGGAGGAACAACTGTTTAGGCAATTTTAGCAAAATATATCTGTCGAATCCATCAACTATCGGGTTAATCTGCAAAAATGAGAGTTGAAGGGTCGAACTTTATGCAAAGAAAAGCCTTACAGTTCACAATTTTACCGCCAGAAACCTCTTCACTGTATACCATGCAGACTGAAAGCATCAGTATAACAGCAAAGGAAGTCTAACACAAGCTGTAAACTAAATCATCAACTGATATCAACACTACATCTGAGAGAGTGGTTAGACGACCGACAAGTAGCGGTTATGTCACAGAGAATGCTAGCTCATGGAGTTGTTTTCGGACATGGAATTGATCGAAAAAATAGTGGGAGTTTTAGACAAAATATGCAGTAAGATTGTCAGATGGCTTTTACAAACCTGACGATCAGCAAACTCCGACCGAATAATGGAAAAGACGAAAAACATTCACAAAGTAAGAGTACATGTGGGGACAATAATAATATCCATCCAGGCTGCCGAATCCATTATCTAGAAATCCTAATACCTAACTTAATTTTCTAATAATTATACTAAAGTTTAGCATGATCACGAAAGCCTCATGATAGAAACAGAGAATGCAACATCACCCTCACAAATACAAGTATTCCATACCATCTTAAATAGATAGTTTTGTGTAGGGAGGTTTGATTCTGGAAAATAGGTACACCTATTTTGAAGTTAATACCAGAAAACAAAGAATTCAAAACTGTAAACTTAACTGACGTATCAGATAAATAGTAAATTTAAATTTGGTGGTTGAACTATTGCCAATAGTGATAGGTCAACTACATCAGACTTCGGCGTAAACAAGTCAGAAAAACAAATCGATGAAAAATATGATTACAAAAACAACTTCGTTTTCAAAGGAAAAACCAATTTTATTCTTCAAAAAATTATTAGTGGCTAGAAAAACGATATTATCATATAGAACAGAATATATTTGAGCACTGTTCAGAAAAAAAATATATATATGTATAATTATTACTTAGAAATAACAAAATGAAAGAAGCATGAACTAACAAACGCACAATTAGCACCGAGCAAAAAGTATTTCAGGCAAATTACAAATGGATAATGTTAATTATAAAGAAAACAAGTAGATCAAAAGAAACAATACCATCATCACTATTCAAAAATATATGTTTCACTTAAAATGCAAATTAACTTCATAAATCAGAAACAGTTAAGTGTATCTTCAATAAAGGCATACAACATGCATATATACTATCAAGTTTGTAGACTCAACTTGACGAAGAAACATTTATACAACAAGTGAATATCAATTTTAAGAGAAAAGGAACTGTGCTGTAAATGATAAGAGTAAGTGTAATATAAAAAGCTGTATATTTACATATGAGTGTAAAGTCGAAACCCAGAAAACTGTTATGCGATCGCTATCAAAAGTGTGTGTGTGTGTGTGACAGAGAATGTAATGCGTCGACAATGAAGAACAATATACAGAAATGGCTTATGAAGAAGCATTTCCGAAAAAAACATTACAAAATATTATATACAAATATCATATCCGTTTAGTTCTAAAAAAACAGGCAAATAAACGCAAATTTGGTGGAAATATATTTAAGTAAAAAGAATATAATTTTAACAACATAAATCAACTGACTGTAAAAGCGTAAATTCATAGTTTAAAGTGAGCGTGAATGATATAAGAGACAGAAAAAAAAGTGATATACAAAACGAAAAAAAGATGATGACTAGCTAGACTAAAAGAAGAGAAAAAGAAGGAGACATCAAAGAAATAATGTTTTATGTAAACAATTTACAAGTTAATTAGATAAATAAGTTAATCAAAGGAACAAACAAATGCACTTTAGACAACAGTATGATAGGCAGAGGATTGAAATTTGAAACTCATACACAAACCTGTGATACAACTAACAGAATACTAAAACTTCCTTTTTCCCTGTATAAATACAATTTTTTAAAAAAAGTAGATAATATTATACACAATTGTCAGTTATTGGAAAAGCCGTCCAAAGTATGTTAATAAAATGGAAAGCATCCAAATTTACGACGTTCTCTGCCAAAAAAGAAAAAAACAATAGATTAATTTCTACTGCAGATGACTAAACTCATGATGAAAGTTGTTTTGATCCTAAAGATGTGGAGTAGTACAGTGTATACCTTTTCATTAAAAACTCGAAACGTTAAGATAACACAGTTCCTGAGTACACGTAGTTCAGCGTTGTGCAGGAATTAATTATATACCTAAAAATATAGATACATAAAATACAAAGATCAAAGGATAACTAATGAGATTATCGTGATAATTATATTAATTTTTAAACCTTTATGCTGTAACTTCAGTGTTTTATAACGAATCGATACCAGCTGTAAAATAACTAAAAGTCAAAAAGTAAAGCTTGACAGTTGTTTTATTCTGTCTGCAACTATTCCATTGCATATGTCCTAGGTAGTCTTTATAGCCCAATATGGTCTAATGGATAACACTTTGGCGTTTGAAGCGATAGGTATGGAATTCCGGTTTCAATCGGAACAACACCACTCGCTGGAGGTGCAGATACATCCAGCTGACGAGTTTCAAACAAGACGGAACGTATGTCCTGGATTCCAGTGCTACCCACGACCAAGTCAGATATAACAATAAATATTCAGGCAATATCGAGACATCCGAATAGAAATTCAAATGTCAACAGACGTTGGTCAATTCCATACAGTATAACAGCAAATAATTACAAGTATATCAACAAATAATAATCAACATGAAACCTTTATAGATCAAGGTGAGTAAATTACTACTGAAATTCGCTACAATTCAAAATATAATAAGACCGTTCATTAATTTCATTAAACAAATTACTACTTTTAACTTCGTTCAACGTACATGCTACAGTTGAACGACAGAAATTATTCTGAAGTGATTCAAAAAATTAAGTATCTTATTCCCTATAATTTTCTGTATTTCTTAAAGTGATGTGAAATTAGTTGATAAATGGTAGAATATTCAGTACTTATTCATGATAAAAACATTTTTTACTAAATGTAAAGTTTCTCGACAGGTAGACCAATAAGAGAAAAAAAACTAGACCTGAATTGTAGAATGAGAACAATCGTTATTCGAAATGTGAAAAAGTAAGCAAAGTTGTATTTATCACTGGTACATGAGAGAAATTCAAGATATAATTTGAGAGATTAGTAGAACATACTAAAGCTATAGAGATAGTGAATATTGATCTTCAATAAGCGTGAAAATCTTTGCCCAACTTTTTAAAAAGATGAATATCTGCCATTCATTTCACGGATCGTTAAACAGAGGGTCATGTTTATCATTCTGACTAGTCTACAGAATCAACTGAGACTTATCAAGTAGAGAAAATATTATAGCCAATAAGGTTAAGTAACTCAACATTAAAATATGCTGTACGGTTAGAGTTTATTTTTGAGTTGTATTTGAAAAAAAGTAACGTTCACTTTCTAAATCAAATCAGTGTTGCTAAAAATTCTTGTCAAACATATGGCTATTGATCTATTTGAACTATGATACACTGCTGTTATACACTAATTCCTACAAAATGACGGTCAATTATTGAGCTAATTGTTCACTTCGTTCTAAATTTTGTGTTGATGATGTTGTCTAGAATGAAAATAAAAGTTTTACGATTAGTATCTACTACTGTAGAGGTGAATGATGAGGATACATCTTGGATAGAGGTGATAATATCCTTTAAACCAGAGTTCAATAGTACAATACTGCTAACTCTACTATTATTACTAATATGTTTTTCAAAATATTTGTGCAGTGGGACTTCATATTTAATGAATGTGGAAAAAATTTGTTGATAACCAAACCAAATTAATCTTATCTTCATGTAATAAAAATAGAAATATTATAAACTTTTGTTCACCTGATAAGGAGTTCAAAAATGTTTGAGGTTTGAATTTTGTAGACCTGAGCATAAAAAATGTTATTTCTGATATTTTACTCATGAATCAGATATGGAAACGCTGAAATTTTCTTGTGGATTGACAAAATGATGAATTGAACGATCCGTATCTCGATGATTGGCTAACTGACTTAAACCAAAAAATTTCAAACCTTTATCTGAACTGAAGGAATATAAAGAAATATGCATTTTTATAAACTATGATTACTTTAAAGTTAACAATCTTGGAATCAACTGAATAAGCGAACGATAATTTGAAATCTTCGAATTTTTCCCTGTTTAGTGGTGTTGTAATGATAAATAAACTGTTCCCATGATGAATACTTTCTTCTATACATATCACTGTCTGAAGATAAACATACTTCCCTACGCTCTCTCAAGATTATAAATCACCGAATGAACCGAACACAAGATGAGATATTCGGAACCATTTCACTAGCAATTCCTATTCTTACATCTATTTTAGATTTACATTTAATACATTTATACAACTGAATAACATGTTACAAAACACAATAAGTTACTTGTATCCAACAAAGCCATTCAGACTACAAAATAATGGACACAGTTAACAGGGTATTACTTTTTCAATGAAACAGCATGAAACAACAATCAACTAATCGTAAGAAAGCTAATCAAAATGGTTACAAAATAATCCTATAAAATAGCCACCGAATAGATTATATTTTAAAGTAAATACCAAGATTTACTAGGTCCAGTTTTACATTCTTTCTTTAAAGTGGTATAACAAATGGTGAACCTGAAGCATAGACATCTACTACATATACTGAGTCATACACTTACAACACTTCTACAAGCACCAATATGAGTCGATTCACTTACAGATAAAAATAGCTTCAAGTTTAAAAGGCGTTGAGGAAATGTGAACAGGGCGTTCACAAGACCATACATTTTGTCAGCATTTGTTCCAAACAGGAAAATGTTACCTGTGTATTCTAAGCTAACCAGACGACCTGCACACAGTAAGTAGACCAAGCCCTGAAGTCACACCTACCTGAAGTTATGTTCATTAATGTGTCCATAGCAAAGCTAAACAGGAACGGTGACAGTGGGTATCCCCGGTCAACACCACTGATTGTCGTTAATTCAGATGACAACTCCCCAACACCCTTAAGGGGCTGCGAGTAGAGAGCTATGATTAGCTTTATATACTTGTTCGGCATTCCCTTCACAGTCAGACACCACTACAATACCTATCAGTTGATAGAGTCAAATGCCATTTTCGGGTCAGGAAATATGGTAATTGTCGGCAGCCGGTAAGCATCCGTGTGTTCCATAGACTGATAAAACATGAAGTTCCAATCGACACATTCTCGTCGCGGTCTGAAACCTAACTGCTTCTCTCGAATAAGTTGTTCACAGTTCCAGTTAGGCGTCGGATAATTATGGACTCTAGAATCTTCGGTACATTAGTTAAAGTAATTCCATAAAGGTGTCACAAAAAGACTTCCCTTTCTTCTTATAGACTGGAATGATCAGCGAAGTAGACCAGTCTGATTGGACCACCATTGATTTCAATACGCCACATGCTCGCTACTCTGCTTAGTAATTTCATACCTCTATCCTCACAACTTTGGGCGTCAAACCGCCAGGTCATTGTATCAGGTTTGAAACAGCTGTCTCAAATTCATGAACCGATGTTTACGTTCCGTTCAAGTTAGGCTGCATGCTGGGCAACTCAAGGGTTGATGTGGGTCAGATCAACCGTGCTTCAAAGTGTCCCGACCAACGTCCTAGCCTTCTGTCTTGAGAGGTTATCAGTATCACATCGTTCTCGGTGATAGTCTCATCATCCTCTTATTGCTGGTATCTTAAATAACCCTAACCATTTGTCGAGTATTACCGAGTGGTGACATCTCCATTTCTTTCGCCCCATACTACTACTAGCGACCATTGAGAAGACTCAGTCATTTACGTTTCAGCAGCTTTCACTTCTCCTTGTAGTTACAGCGAGCTAGGATCAACCTTTTCGCATAAGTTTGTGGAAATCCACTAACGTTTGCTGACCTTCAGATGTAGGTTACCAAATATCTTCATTGTTATTTCTACAGTGAACTGAATGCCACGCCAGGGTTTCTCAGGATCAGGATTTTTATCACCTATCTACCTATATCACCTCGAATGCACATCTGATGTTCTCATTTTCCAATTGAGCCCACACCGGCCTAACTGCCGGCTGCTTTCTATAACCAGTAAGACGCAAGTATACGCGTGTCAGTAATAACGCATAAATGGAGTCCAAATAGGTACCCCAGAAAGAGCAGTAGTCCTTCCCCGATGCTCTTCAACCATGGTTTATAACAATATGATCTGTCCGTGTTTATCGTTAGTTTAAAGTCGGCGGACGACATATGAGACCGTGTCTCTCCTTATGCCTTAAGTTAGTGCTGACCAAACATAAATGACTGTCAGAACAAAACTGTAACACACGGCTAACGTTATAAGTTAATTGCCATGGCATTCCGTAGATATCTCCCAGATATCTTCCTAAATGGCTCATCTTCCTTACTTGGGCGTTGAAGTCCCTTGATAGCATAACTATGTCAGAGCGTTTCGCGTTATGCACCAAACTTGACAGTTTTTGACAGAAATCATCCTTTGCACTATCCAAAATGCAGTCAGTGGGTGCTTAAGCAGAGATTACGAATAGGGATCAGCAATTCTGGTCATGCTTTAGTAAGAGCTATGCTCATCTTGCGTTCTGGTGGTCATCAAAATCCTCGTCCCAGACAGCTCAATGTAAGCAAATTAGTTCCACTTAACATTGCAGCTAAATAATAATCTGAGCTAGATTTGAGGCTAGCTACCGATCGTCCAGAAGAAGTAGACGAGAATTGGCTGCACTCTCAAGACGTCATAAAAATGGCGAGTAAAGCTACTTGTGGCTTGGAAGAACTTTTTACCAACAAACATTGGGTCTCTGAGAGCTCCTTGCAACTTCATGACGCCCGTCCAATCATTATAGGGGATAGCGAGTGGTTCACGTAAGTCTCTTGCAGGAGATATTACACAATAATTAAGCAAAGACCGTGAGGCTTGGTGATCAGAACGAAAGAGTGAGATGAAAGCAGTAGCTTCATCAGGCAACAGTTGGAAGTTGCCCCAGCTTATCCGAACCACTGGCAGCAAAAACTTGGTGTCAATGAGACAGTCTTTGAGGAAGATGATTATTATTATTAGTCCCTTGGGTACCTAATGGAACATAGGGCTTCAGTAGCACGTCTCGAGTGACCTCTGTTCTCTGAAATCTTTTGAACCTGGCTCCATGACAGCCCACAAGCTCTCATTTCCTCCTCGCACGAACTCCTCCATGTCACCCTCACCTTGGACGCCCAACTCGTCGCTTCCCATCGGGGTTCCACTCCACGGCCTGATGCGTGATGTCCCCAGTCGGCCTTCTCAGTGCATGCCCAATCCATCTCCACTTCCTTCTGCATATTTGTCCAGCGATAGGTTCTTGGTTGGTTCGTTGCCAGAGCTCCTTGTTGCTTATTCTTTCTGGCCTTCCGATCTGAGATACAGTAACGAGCCAGCGTAGGCAGTTGTTGATGAATATCTGTAGTTTATTGGAAATCCCTTTTGTAACGCTCCAAGTCTCTCAACCACACAGAAGCACTCACTTGACGTTGGTTTTGAAAATCCGGATATTGTTCACGCTTTGTGCTGAGTGCAGAAGATCTCCACACTGGTTTCAGGATAATGAACGCCTGTCTTGCTGTCTTTTCCGATTCTGACTTTGACATCTTCGTCTGTCCCGCCTGTAGTTGAAACAGTGCTGCCTAGATAGGTGAAGGAGGTTACTTCCTTTAAGTTTCTCCCGTTCATGGTGATTGGAGTTTGTTGTTGTTGTTGGAGTTGTTGGTTGGGTATCTTCATCACCTCTGTCTTCTCTATATTCACTTGAAGTCCCGTCTTCGCTGCCTAGCCTCTTCTGCCAACTTGTTAGTTTTCACCTGTAGATCTTCAAGTTTGTGTGACATCAGACACAAGTCATCGGCGAAATCCAAATCTTCTAGGTTCTTTTCCGCAGTCCAGCCAGCGTATCCCCCTCTTCTCGTTCCCCACTGTTTGCTGTATGATCCAGTCAACCACAATCAGGAATATCATGGGGGATAGTAGGCAACCTTGTTTCACTCCTGTCTTCACTTCAAAAGCATCACTGAGCTTCCCATTGTGAATTACTTGGCTGGCATGTGGCATCATCATATAGTTGTTGAATGAGGCGGATAAAGGTTTGCGGTGCTCCATAGTAATGAAGCAGTTTGCAAATTACCTCTCGGTCGACGCTATCAAAGGCCTTCTCAAAGTCGATGAAGTTGAGGTGTAGGGTTGACTGCCATTCTATACTCTGTTCTATGATGATGCGAAGCGTTACAATTTGGTCCGCACATGATTTGTACTTCCTGAATCCAGCCTGCCGGCCTGTTCCGGTGGTAGTTTTGAATTCAGCACATCCTTTAGCCTCTACAGGATGATGTGGCATAATATTTTGCTTGGGGGTGGACAGGAGAGTGATTCCCGCCAGTTCTTGCAAACACTGAGGTCTCCCTTCTTCGGCAGTTTGACAAGGTAATCCTTCTTCCAATAAATGGCCAGGTACCTTCTCTTCCTTCTACACCTTCTTCAATAGTGGTGTGAGCATGTCCGCTGTTGTCTCTGCGTCTGTTCTCAGTGCTTCTGGCGAGATCCCGTCTGGTCCTGCTGCTTTCCCGCATTTCAGTAGCTTTATGGCGTTCAGGACTTCCATTTTTGTTGGAGGATTCATGTTCACTTGTAATTCAGCGGCTGCAGGTGGTATTTCTGGACGAAGTGCACGTGGTGGTCGATTCAAGAGCTTCTTGAAGTGGTCGGCCCATTGTTTCCTTTGTTTCTCTTCTTTCGTAATTAAATTTACGTCATCATCTTTTATTGGTTTCGTCTGCGTTGTGAGGAAGATGATACGCCGATATAAAATCTTCAAAGACGTCTGTAACACTGGGCGGAGCACTTCCAAAGGCAGATGAGTTGACCAAGTGCTCCATCAACTTCAGTTTTAGTGTATCGTGCTCCATGGTCAGCTAACACCGACCCACCTAACGAATCGGGGGTCCATGAGGAACTCCAAGTTCTGAAATTCCACAATGCACCTAGACAAAAAACTTACTTCTAGCTCTTTAAAAGGATGGAGGAACGATTCTAGTCAGAGAACTGGCTAGACTGAGAAAGTATGGCAGACTGAGTGCCCTATCACTCTGAAATGGGGTAACCTTTGTGCCCATCTTTAGAATGGGTCTTTGTAATGTATGTGACAATCATCAACGTATTAATCTGTTACCAGTCATGTCGAAAATATTGACTACTTTCATTCTTCGCAAATTTTGTAAAATGAGTGAGAAAATGATTCGCGAGAAGCACGACACCTAGCCAGGGAGTCTCCGGATGATCGTAAAGTGAATTACGCAGATTCATCACAATGACAGAGCAAAGTCAAATGAATGACTATACTTAGCTTCTGTATGCTTGTCTCAGAAACACAACAAGAATCCATGTTTCGAGTTCAAGTGAGCGACAGCTACTATCCGATTTGGCCTAGGGTTTGAAAGTCAAAGCTCCAATGTGAAGCAAACAACGGGTTTCTGGAGACTAGGAGTGAAGTTTCGCTGGCTTGGATATTTCGCGATGGTTTCAGAGTGAGAGGTTTAGTGAGTTGTAAGACGCTTAATACTGGTATCAGGAGGATAGGTTAAGGTAAGTTGGATTTTGTTTACTACTGGAAGCATGCCAGTGGTTGACACTTCGTGAATTTTAAGTGGTGCCCTTTCACAAACCTACACCTTTCATTTTCCAGAAACTAGTATAAGCAAAGGTTTAAGCCATTGACTATGACAATTATTGAAGTGTCAAACAGATATATATATATATATATATATATATATATATATATATATATATATATATATATATATATATATATATATATATATATAAAGAGAGAGAGAGAGAAGAAAGAAAGAAAGAGGTTCTCAGATAATCACCAGAGAAGTAAAACTAGCATTTAAATGAAAAGCAAAAGGCATTTAAACAGAAAAGATAACTTTATGAAGCCGCTGTTATCATTCTTTACCCACTTTTACATAGTGTCTACTATTCATTTCGTACTTTTTCAAAAGTCTGGTTAACCTATCCTTTACACTCCATTGTGGGATTTGGCAAGTTGAATCCATGAACTTTTGTGTAAAGTTCCAAGGTGTTTTTCTATGCTTCTATCTAGTTCAAGAATATAACAACCTATTCATAACAAATAGTTCAATATGTCAGCGTCCTAACAATTTATGGGATTCCCGACTATCCAATGAAGAGACTGAAACTCATTCTAGCTGTGTTAAGAAAATATACAGAGAGATATAATACAGAGTACTTAGACAAATACATTTTATCAAATTATAGACTTCCGTAAAGCAGTTATTCTGTAGGATTATTTTGATAACAAAGTTCCTTTTTCGATTATTTTTCCATGTATTGCCATAAAAAAGTGCAATTTAGCGGTAAATTATGTTACCGATCTCCTACGATGTTGCTTTTTGAATTAAGCGCTTGACTTCAAAGCAATGCGTCTTAAGGGTAAAGCCCACTCTACCTCTGACGAATCAATTTGCGTTTTAAGATCATTTTTATATATATATATATATATATATATATATATATATATACGCACAGGTTGTTAGTCAGAAAAAAACCACAGAGAAGGACGGCTTTTCACAACTATTTTTCTGAGTTTAGCAACTGATTCGTCATCGCATGAATCGAATATCAACCGCATATGATATTTAAACGAAGTTTATAACAGTTTATGGTCACATAATGGTAGGAAAGTAGATTTCTCGTTATAAAAAGCTGCTCTAGGTCTATGTCTGGATAGTTTCGTCAATCTGTCTAAAGAAAGTCACGCTGAAATTATTGTAAATAAATCCTGCCGTAATCGCTTTGACTTGAACTCCTTCCATTGTTTCGCATAGAAAAACAACAACAACAACCACAAAAAGCATTTTCAATATTAGAAACTGCATCAAACGAAACACCTACTTAATACTATTACTTGTTAGATCAGGATGAATAAACGATGATGACGATGATTGAGGTTGATGAAGAATATGACTGAATTGACATGAAGTCGAACGAGGATGATGACGTTCATCATGATGCCTAGTTTCTTCATCAATTCGATATACGTAAGGATATTGACTGCTATGCATAACCATGTTATTATCGGCATTATTGTTATTATTATTATTAACGTCATCATCAATATTAGGTGGTGTCAGTAGACCAGGATCATAATTGGGTATACAAGATGTAAACATAACATTCTTTGATAACTGTCGATTTTCATTCATTATAAAATTGTGTAAATTAACCATTACAGGAGGAGAACCAGATTCATTATTGCCATTACCATGGCAATAGAGACGCTGGCTATGATGATGACGAAAACGATGATGATGTAAAGGATGATATGATGATATAGTTCGATTAAAATGACTTGGATAAAAATCTAATTGTGCATTTTGTTCACCATTCTTATTGCTATTATCAATATTATCATTATTACTTACATCATCATAAAAGGAGTGACGTGAGTTTGGATTTTTATGTGAATAAGAATATAATTCAGTTGAACACAAATGTTCATTTGCATGCTGAAACATACTACTCATAGCATCTTTGTCAGGTAAACCAAATTCATCTAGAAGAGAACAGGATAAAAGTAAAATTAAACGATTGCGATAAACGAATAAAAAAATGGTACCCTTCCCTAAGAAATTGACACCTTGGTCAAATGGCAGCAAAATGTCAGAAAACAAAAACAAATATACACTAGAAAATACATAAAACTTTTTACAGGTAATACCCATAACGACTTGATGCAGTAATACAAAGAATATGACTTCAAAAACCGGTAGAATGGAGTGTATGAGTAAATAATTAGAACCATACAACCGGAACGCTGAATTACGAGCACCTTATTCATTTTCTGCACTGCTGACCACGGAATCCTGCTTTAAACAACCTAGAAGTATTTTTACTCTCAAACAAAGTAATTTGGCATATTGTGTACTTTCTCAACTGAAACACAACCTGTGTGCACTGTTAAAGTGATAAGTGTTATACAACAAGTCAGATTTTCTCTCTTGATACACTTCCCATATGACTATAAACTCTATCTCATATCTAAATGGAACAAAATAATAGATGATTGATATCCCGATCATTTTTGTTCAAGCATTGATGTCAAACATGGTAATTTGTATCTAAGAGACATTATTCCAGACATAATACAGGTAAAGTCCACCAGTTGATTGAAGACAATCAGCAGAAAGCCAAAACACAAGTTTTGTGCTTGTTTTTACTCGTCAGAAATAAATACCCGCAGATAGACAGATGAAATTAATGTAAAACCTCGCACACAATTGCATTAGCTCAAGTTGTAACACTTTATCATAGTACACAAAAAACAAGTGGATAGAAAATGATTGATTTCAAAGTAGACAAAGTTTTGATAGAATATATAGTTTGAAAATAAAGATTAACGCATACATTCAAGATTCAGAAGATATCACGGAGTGAATACATCTGCGCTATTGTCACTGATTCGCAGCCATGTCACTGAGACTTCTCAACCACTGATCAATTACCTTCCACACACACCCAACTAGAAAGTCGACATCACCCCACACAACTCAGACCAACACTCAGAGACTTCATCAACTACTGTCACGTCTTCATCTGGTCACCCTGAACCCTCTTCCAACATAATCAAATTTCCTCTAGCACGGCACGTCGATGTAGGCTGTGGTTCGGAATGCGCAGTACATGCCAAAGATATTTCAGTTGAATAGATCTCACAACCTCATCAGTTGACTTCCTCGTCTTGCCTAGTGCCCTTCGCCTGACTTCCATAATGCTCACATGCTGATACCACCAAACACGAGCAATGCTGCGAGGATGTCTATGATAAAACACCTTCAGCCGATTCGTGTTGTCTACTTTTAACGGCCATGTCTCACAGCATGACAGAAAGGACTGCAACGCAATATGCCTGCAGCCTCTAGGGAACTGATGTCCCCAGTCAGAGCCAAACGCACATCTTAGGGACACAACTTGTTAAGGAATACAGATTTGACAGTAATGTTATAGAAAAGTCCTACAGTACAATCAAGTAAATTAAGTCAGGAAATGACAATTGTGGAATAGTGAGCTCAAATATAGTTCGAGATAAGCTAAGTACACGTTAGTCGCACATTTTTGTTACTATTTAGTTATAAAAGCGACAAAAGACAATTCAGGGAAGAAAATCTACTTTGTGAGAACAACGTTTACAAAAGCTGTATAATAATAATAATAACAATAATAATAATAATAATGTATTGTTACACAGTTTCCTTTTATATTTAGTACGCTTGAACAAGATTGTTGCACAGTAGTTTAGAGAGTCAAACGTTCACGAACACTTGATCTTCATTAATGTGACCAGTATGGTAGTGTCAATAATCCCGAAGTAACATCTGTAGTTCACAGCTTAGTACATGAACAAGCAATTAGAGAGATGAATCTATCTACTAACGCTGTAATTTATGGTCTCAATCAGCCTAAAACTAAGAAAATATGTACCAGAAGTTACATATTTTGGAAGGGTTTCATAAAACATCGGATTGCACAAAATATTATTACAGAGATAAACTATACTGACATAATGAGTAAGGGGGAAAAGAAAGAGTTAGAATACTGTTATGCAACATATAACAAATTTCCAATATAGATGTAATGTATTACTGAAGAAAGATACAAGAAAAGAATATAACTTTAAAAGTGATAACGGAATAACTAGTGACAACTAACACAGGCATGGGAATTGCATGCAATAGACGACATGCGAAGACAACAGATTACGATAGATGTGAGCGATTTCTATGTTATATACTGATTGTCGATTTTTTTCCGCTACCTAATGTGTAATGTACGCGACAACGACCAAACGCAAATAAAATGAAAGTGCTTAAAATAAAACCAAAAAAGTACAAAACGGACAATTTACAAGGATAGTCGAGTTCAATTAAGAAAGATGAAGTACAGTAATAGTATTAAAAAATGTAATATAAAAAATAACAACCCTTGGGAAATAAGAAACAGTTAGATTTGATGGTAATAACAATGAAGTAAGTTGAATAAGAACAGAGAAAAGAAAGAAGTCATTTGTTTTCGCTATTGAACGCTTTTTTTATTTTCCATGTCGAATATAAAAGAAAGCTACATCTTGGACGCGACTGACTATGATTTAGGACCACATTTAAATGAGCTACGTGAATCCTCGGATAACAACTAGGAAGTTATGATGCAAACATTGTGAAACTAACGTTTACACTAGGCACTAGTATCATAAATTAACTACCTTTTACAGTTGATATCACAGGAAACAGATAACGCTCAGTATATGTGAGGATAGGTCAGATTACACTGATTTGCACCATTTTCCTATTATTCAACACCTGAATTCAACACTACGTGACTTTTGTTTATGAGTACTATGTGTCATGCACTACTAAATTGTAAATGGTCTCCATTAGATTGAGATCAGCCTTTACTTATACTTGCACCTGATGGTGTATCATTATAAATAATTGAACACTTTGAGCGTCCTAGATATTAGTGTGGAAGCTGATGGACATTTGGTTGATGACTCCAATGTTCGTATAACAAGTTTTCACAAATGTCATGCACCATAATGAATATCTTTCCTTCTGTTGTGGCTTTTTGTGTGTAAAAGGTGTGACATGCAACACTTCTCTGCAATCAGTTTAGCTTTGTAACTGTAGAATGTCATCTATCTGAGCCAAAACAGTTCTCGACCGTTTTGTATTTTCCACTGTACTTGTTCGCTTAGTAAAGCTTACATTTCATTCTGACGTCACATGGTAAGCGCTGAAATATTTCGTCGTGGTTTTCAGGCATGATTGCATGAAGATGTACTTCACGTACATCTAAAGGAGACCATTTACAATTTAGTAGTGTATGACACATAATACTCATAAACAAAAGTCACGTAGTGTTGAATTTGGGTGTAGAATAATAGGAAAATGGTGCAAATCGGTTGATAGGTAGGTCAAAACAGCATCGACTGAGGTAGCTTAGGTATGCACTATGCATATCTAGTCATTGTCTAGCCCAATGCACCATTTTAGGTAGTACGTTTATGTTGGAAAAAGTTAGAAGAATGACTACAGTAAAAACGTCTATATAGCATGCAGCTGTTAGTCCGAGTCAGGTAGGAGAATGAAGATCTCTAAGTTGGAGGCCGTACAACAATCAAAACCGATGACTGGAAATTCATTTAATAGCTAAATAGATGTTGTCATCACTTTGAAACTCTTGAAAGAGAAAAAAATTGAAATTTTTGTAGAAAAATAAAAATTCATTCTCCGATCAATCAAACACCAAATAAGAGTAAAAACATAACTATATACAGAGGGAGAAAAGGTCAACTACTACAGCTGACGGAATATATATATATATATATATATATATATATATATATGTCCTTACCGTCAGTACCCCCATGCATCGAACCACCGCTTGGTGGTTCGCGCTTTAGACCATTTATTATTGCGGACTGCAATAAATAACATGAATCCTCATGAGTTAGGCTATCAACAATCTCTGATGCACCAACATGTTCATCTGCATATGATGACAGTAATAAACGAGGATTTGAAAATGAACCGTCCATAATAATACCACTGTTTGAATGATTCATTATGGTATGACATGAAGGACTGATAGGATAGTCCACACAACTAATTTTCTGATGTGCAGGATAGTAAGTGGATGAAGTTAATAAAGCAGATTTGGATGGAATATCTACATGCCGTTTATTATCAGTATGAATATTACGCATACCATCACTATTAGACGTGAGGCTTCTCAACTCGAAATTTTCATTTGTAGTTAAATACTTGGGTGGAGGTGGGGGTGCAGGACTCATAGGTGGTGGTCGAGATGGATACTGAATACTCGGTCTTTCAACATTTTCAAAATTTTTATTGGCAAGTCGATGTCCACTAATGGTATTGGAAGAAATCATCAAGGGGGTAGAGTGTAGGTTATCAAGAAGGAATCCACCAGTTGTACCAAAGTTTTCCTTTTTCAAACTTTTATCAGTAGTTCCAAATGAACCTGTTAAATAATAAAAATAAACACAAAAGAGTATAAACATTTTTTTTAAGCAGCGAAACACCGATGCATGCCATCATATGCAATAGATGATATACGGAAAAACGAAACTGTCTGATTAGCAGATCGAAATGTCAGGATAAAACTATCAGTTTACGGAATAGTTTACCATTTATATCATACATTTCACTGGCCTAATTCTGGTTTTATGGAAATATGATATGATAATGGATAGAATGACTATATTTCTGTCTTACAGTATAAAAGTAGATAGTAGTTTTAGTAACACAAATAATCCTTTTTCATAGATCCATTAATAAACAGAAAGTAACAATGTGAGAGATTTACATCTAAAGAATGAGGTTGTAAAAAACAATTGTCAACTGGTAAGAAGTGCTGAGTTTGTTGAACAATAATGGATTAAAAACTGAAATTTCATCAAGAGTCAAGTTCATTGGTAGCCAAATAATAATGTTATATCATGAACTGATAGAAGTAGGAAATATGAACCATTGGATTCCGACACAGTGAATCAATGGTAAAGTGCTGGCCACGGAGCATGAAGGTCCTGGGCTCGACTACTGGTGGGGTCATGGGTGCACGCTCTTGAGGAGTCTCAAGCTAGGACCAAATAGCTGTCGACAAGCGATCTCAGTTTTCCAATGTTCCTCCAACTAATGTCACTTCATGATGAACACCAACCAGAAATCAGTGAATCCCTACAAACCTCCAAATTAAATTAGTAGGTCATAACATATTGATTGGACGTGAAAGCGGTTGGTTTGTATTCACTTTATTACTACTACGATTTCACACTATATTGTTGCATTATTCTCCTTTGTTGTCTTTAACTTAAACTAAATGGGGGAATGAAGTACATAAGAAGTATAACAATCCCTCAATCAAATATATATATATATATATATATATATATATATATATATATATGTAAAGGTTACCGTTGTGACCAGTTACCCTATATATGATTGCATACTTTCAGGTTAGCTTAACACCTGTCGGTAACTTACTGTGAGAAATCGTTCACATATTCACGCACACAATTTTCAGATACTAAGTTACTTAACTAAAGTACCATTTCCATTCAGTTTTAAAATTCGTCCGGTTATAATTTTTTTTGTATAGTTCAACAACTGAGTGGTCTGATGCTCTAGATATTCAATGGAATTTTTTTTTAAACGAATAACACACACACACACACACACACACGAAAACCTGGAACAAATTGCAATGACTGAACTGCAAATAAAACCTAACTTGCGGTTGAATCATCCAGCTCAGTCGACAATAAATACAGAAAGACTAGCGAGTAGAAGTTATGGTTTTCCAATGCAATTGTGACTCTAGTGTTAGCCAATTTCAATCTCGATAAACTGTTGTATAAAGATGGAAAATCTGAAACTAATATAAATCCACTTTCCGTAACATTTGACAAATTCACTAATTTCGTTTTTCAAAAAAAATATACTTACGTGGGTTACAGGGAATAACATCACAACCACTGGCAGAACGATTTATTACTAAACGATGTTTATCTCGCCGTTGACGCCATATACACAATACAACTAAGCATATCATAATCAGAAGCATTACACCGGTTAAAGCGCCCAAAACAAGAAACATCAGTCTGTTTGATTCCATTGAATTGAATGCAACTACATTTTTTGTGTTGTAATGTTCACGTGATTTAGCCACTGAGCGCAAGGCTGAATCCTGACTGACACGATTATCATTTGCAGCCATTGAAATCTAAATAGGAATGCAAAGAAAAATAACGTTCACATTGTATGAGTGTCCAAACAAGTAGTAATATGAATCACTACATACTTGTAAACAAAAGTGTATTTAAAACCGTAGATATAACATAATGGCCAGTTAACGGGATATGTAACAATGGAAAATATGTGGGATGAAAGTATATAACAGATGGTTATAAGTAATGAAAAAACGTTCGTGAGTCCAAAGTTTACACTTCTGCAGTCATCATCACGATGTCTCTATATCCTGAAGGGAACTAGGATCTAACTACTCATAACCTCAATCAAAGATGCTACTGGGATACTATTTATATTATTATTTATTAGTCCCTTGGGTTCCTAGTGGAACATAGGGCTTCAGTAGCACGCCTCCAGTGACCTCTGTTCTCTGAGATCTTTTGAACCTGGTTCCACGACAGCCCAGAAGCTCTCATTTCCTCCTCGCATGACCTCCTCCATGTCACCCTCGGACGTCCAACTCGTCGCTTCCCATGGGGATTCCACTCGAGGGCCTGACGCGTGATGTCCTCAGTCGGCCTTCTCAGTGCATGGCCAATCCATCTCCACTTCCTCCTGCATATTTGTTGCGTGATAGGTTCTTGGTTGGTTCGTTCCCAGAGTTCCTTGTTGCTTATTTTTTCTGGCCATCTGATCTTCAGCAGCGAGCGTAAGCAGTTGTTGATGAATGTCTGTAGTTTATTGGAAATCCTTTCGTGACGCGCCAAGTCTCTGAGCCATACAAGAGCACTGACTTGACGTTGGTGTTGAAAATCCGTATCTTGTTCCAGATGCTGAGTGCAGAAGATCTCCACACTGGTTTCAGGCTAATGAACGCCTGTCTTGCTTTTCCGATTCTGACTTTGACGTCCTCGTCCGTCCCGCCTGTAGTTGAAACAGTGCTTCCTAGATAAGTGAAGGAGGTTACTTCCTTCAAGTTTCTCCCGTTGACGGTGATTGGAGTTTGTTGTTGTTGTTGTTGATGGTGGTGGTGCGGTATCTTCATCACTTCTGTCTTCTCTATATTCACCTGAAGTCCCGTCTTCGCTGCCTCTTCTGTCAACTTGTTAGTTTTTGCCTGCAGATCTTCAAGTTTATGTGACATTAGGCATAAGTCATCGGCGAAATCCAAGTCTTCTAGGTTCTTTTCCGTCGTCCAGTGTATCCCCCTCTTCTCGCTGCCTACTGTTTGCTGCATGATCCAGTCCACCACAATAAGGAATATCATGGGGGATAGTAGGCAACCTTGTTTCACTCCTGTCTTCACTTCAAAGGCATCACTGAGCTTCCCATTGTGGATTACTTGGCATGTGGCATCTTCATATAGTTGTTGAATGAGGCGGATAAAGGTTTGCGGTACTCCGTAGTATTGAAGCAGTTTCCAAATTACTTCTCGGTCGACGCTGTCAAAGGCCTTCTCAAAGTCGATGAAGTTGAGGTAGAGAGCTGATTGCCATTCTACGCTCTGTTCTATGATGATACGAAGTGTTGCAATTTGGTCAGCACATGATTTGTACTTCCTGAAGCCTGCCTGTTCCGGTCGCAGTTTTGAATCCAGTGCGTCTTTAAGCCTCTCCAGGATGATGCGGCTTAATATTTTACTTGGGGTGGACAGGAGAGTGATTCCGCGCCAGTTCTTGCAAGCACTGAGGTCTCCCTTCTTCGGCAGTTTGACAAGGTAACCCTTCTTCCAATCGTCCGGTACCTTCTCTTCCTTCCACACCTTCTGCAATAGTGGTGTGAGCATGTCCGCTGTTGTCTCTGCATCTGTTCTCAGTGCTTCTGGCGGTATTCCATCTGGTCCTGCTGCTTTCCCGCATTTCAGTAGCTTTATGGCGTTCAGGACTTCCATTTTCGTTGGGGGATTTATGTTCACTTGTAATTCAGCGGCTGCAGGTGGTATTTCTGGACGAAGTGCAGGTGGTGGTCGATTCAAGAGCTTCTTGAAGTGGTCGGCCCATCGTTTCCTCTGTTTCTCTTCTTTTGTAATTAAATTTCCTTCTTCATCTTTTATTGGTTTCATCTGTGTTGGTCTCTTCCCTGATAGCAACCTGGTTATTTGATACAATGTCGTCAGGTCTCTCTTACCTGCAGCCTGTTCTGCTTCACTTGCCAGTGTTTCGTAGAAGTGTCTTTTGTCTTTGCGTGCACTCTTCTTCACTTCTTTGTCCAGTGTTTTATACATTGTGCTCAGTTCCTCTTGTCGTTGAGCATCCTTGCACTGGTTTATCTTCTGCTTCACCATCCTCCTCTCCTCTATCAGCTTCCAGGTATCCGTCGAGATCCATTCCTTGTCTTCTTTCTTCTTCCTTCCTAATACTGTTGTGCAGGTTTCTTTCCACATAGCTTTCAAAGACTTCCAGTGTTCTTCCACACAGGTTTCTTCAGGGATGTCCCTCGATGTCTCCCATTTTGTCTTGATGGCTGCCTTGAAGATCTCCTTTGTAGTTTCATCCTTCAGTTTCCGAGTGTTGTACTTGAATTGAGGTCTATCACCAGCTTCCTTGAAGGCTTTTAACTTGATTTGGAAGGTTCCTTGCACTAGATAGTGGTCTGAACCTACATCTGCTCCTCTTCTTGACCTTGTGTTAAGTAGACTGCGTCTCCATTTTCTTGAGATTGAGATAAAGTCGATTTGATTTTTAGTGTGTCCATCTGGTGAAGTCCATGTCGCTTTGTGGATATCCTTGTGCCTGAACACACTGCCTCCAATCACCAAATCGTTGAATGCACAGAATTCTGCAAACAATTCTCCATTCTCATTCATTTCACCTAGCGCCTCTCGACCCATGGTTAGTTCTCTTCCTGTGTTGTCCCCTCCCAGTTTGGCATTCATGTCGCCCATTAGAATTTTGATATCGCCAACTGACGTCTTGTCCAGTGTTGATTGAAGTTGTCTGTAGAATTCCTCCTTTTTCTCTTGCTCTGCATTATTTGTAGGTGCATAACATTGTATGATTGTGACCTTTCTTCCTTTTGAGTTGAATCTTGCTGTCATGATCCTGGAGGAGATTGGTTCCCACTGCATGAGAGCCTTCGATGCTCTTGAGGACATCATGATAGCCACTCCCTCAGTGTGCTCGTGGTTGGCGTCTGGGTGACCGGAGTAGATTATTGATTCTCCAGTTGACAGTTTGGAGAGTCCACTCCCATTCCATCTGCTTTCGCAAATTCCAAGCACTTCGATGTTATACCTTCTCATCTCCTTTGCAATCTGGGCTGCCTTACTGGGTTCAAACATCGTGCGGACATTCCATGTCCCCACGTTTACTTTCGCTTTCATCGAGAGAAGACACATCGGCCAATTGGCTTCCCGAAGGCTTTCACCAACTGGCGTCATTTCGCCTCTCCGATTCCAGCGGGGAATAAGTTTGTTTTCATTTTTTATATTTTGTTTGTGCTTTGAAGTTTCTTTAGCGGTTAGATTTGTTTTACGGGGTAGGGTTGCTAGCCCTATGCCCAACCTTCCCTCTTTACCCGGGCTTAGGACCGGCTAGTAACTAGTAAACTAGTTAACCAGGCGAGGTTACTGGGATACTAACCAACTTAGAATTAGATCGAGTGAGCTAATTATCTGCAAACTAATTCAATATTTAAGAAAATTAATCCGCATGATGAGTTTGAACAGAGTAGTGAGAAGACGCAGGTTATCTGAAACATGTGGTGGTATTAACGTTATACATTTCGAACAATCTGATCACACATGAACTTGTCGTATAATTTATATGAAAACTGAGAAAGTTTAATTAAGCCAATGGACTAATAGTTTAGAAAGATGAGGGGGAGAACGAAAAAGGAACAAAAATAACCAGACCATTACCACCAATAGTATAAAGGGTTGAACTCAATACTATGAAGGTAGATTTAGTGTAGACACAAATTGTTTACTAAATATAGAGATGGGGTTTGAATTTATGGATAGCAAGTGCTTCGATAAATCTAAGTATTTGTCACTGATCATATCTATAAAAATAAAGTAAAGCCTGTCTTCGATTCAACATTTTCTGTTCCCAAGTGTTGAGAGAAAGCTATCAACCAAGACTACAATGTGACTCGATATCCTGAGACAGTGTTTGGTGTTCGTGTAGATCCCGGAGAGTTTCGAAAACGAGAAAATAATATAAAAAGCTTCATACAGAAAAATGTTACAAGGTCCCCAGATTTAAACCCGAATATAGTTAGGATTTCAGACTGTATGAGGAGTTCCATGGTCGATTCAGACAGAAGAAAAGGCACTGGGTAATGACATCAAAATATCCATTGAATACACAAACAAGAACTATAATGTCCCAGGAAAAATGGAAAAGAACCCAAAATAGAATATAATGAAAGGTTGCTCAAAGAAATTAGTGTCAGATATTTTGATAATCTAATCAACAAACGAGCAGAAGTCAAATAAATCCCAAACTGGTAGGATAAAATTAAGTACGACGTCTAGAATCTGGTTAACACATCAATACCCAACAATCTACGCTCGGAAATCAAACTCACTCAATATGAACAAATACTGATATTATTCTCAATAAAACTCATAAACATCAACCAATAAGACCATAACACAACAATCTTAGAGGAAAACAAGTACACAGGGGAAACTTACTGAGCGTGGTTTAACGAAAACTTCATGACTGAACTGGGTGATTTTTCGTCCATTTAATCCACCTGTAAAAATTGTAGACTGTGGATCCAATCCACGAGGTGTATGCACACCGTAAACAACAATTTGATATCCTTTACCTGGTTCTAAAGCTTGTAATTTGTGTTCCTAAAAGGCAATAAATCACCGAAAGTTGAAAATTGACAAACAAGTAAACATATTATAAGTTCACCCAGACACTTCATAGGAATCTAGCGATGATCAAATCGTCTACTTGATCCAATCCTACAGGTGATAAGTAGTTGTGGCCTACATAGTTTAATGACAAAATGTTTGAATTCCTCACTACACAATGCAGTTTCCCCGTGGTTGGAGATACATCTTGCTGATAAGTGCCAAAAAGGACGGAATTTAGGTCCATGACTTCCTGCCAACTGAATTTCAACATCCAACACTTAAGAAACTTGGTGAATTCGGAACAGAACACTCATCGTTGGGCTTTCATTTTAACTCCCAACTTAGTTGACCCGGTCAATATGAGTGAATGATTACTGATCAACTGAGTGTTGTGTGGGGAGATAATGTATCTTAAGTCAGTTTTCATAGCTGAACAGTTTATTTGATACATTGGTCAATGTCAGACACCAAGGCAACTAACCCACAAACAGGTCGAAAATCGAAATGCACTCAGCAACCACGTCCATGTTTGTGCAGTAGACAATGAGCCTATTGTGTGATACTATCTTACAGTCAAAACTTTAATAGGTGAGGAGGGATTCAAACTTGTGACCGAATGGTTGGGAGTCAATTTCACCACAGCAAACTCAAGGAAGGGTTACAGGTGTGCAATCGTTTTTATTTATTATTAAAGAACCATACACTCACCCTAGAGGCAGATCCATTTACAAAAACTGCTTTGAACCCATTGTAAGTAATTTTTCCATTGTTTGAACGTTCTTCTGGACGATAAAGCAGAAGGAAGTGATCAATGGGAAATCCTACCGCTGATATAGCCAAAGTCCATCGTGCCAATATTCCACCATCCGACTAGGAAAAAGGAACAAGCAGATAAATTCAAATTAAGTAATACATTATCAAAGATGATATGATTCACATTTTAAGGAAAAAGGCAAATAAAAAGGTCCATCATAAATTTCGATGGCATGAAGGAACTAATTAGTTTTATGATACTTGTTGTTCCCAACTAACATTAAGTCAGTAAGTCCTGAGAATAGAAAAAGTTAGGATCTTATCTCTTTGCAAAATCCGGAGAGTTGACAGTTTCTAACATTGAAACCAACGTTTTCTGTCCCTGTACCAGCTACATTATGATCGAGTTGTTGTGATACGACTTAATACTCAGTATTAATTCACAACATATTACAAGTAATTGGTGAATATCCGTCTTCACTCTGGAATCAGTTGACTCCAAAAATCCTGATTTCAAAGAGCGATTCTGCTCGAAAAATAGCTGATACGAAACATAACAGTAGCATAGTTACTTGGAAGTACGAAAATTGAAGATTCGTGTGTACTATATATTCACAGTATAGTACCTGTAAGTAACAAGTCCTGAATTCAAAATGTACAGGTGAACTCGAACATGAGTTTTCTTCAGGTTTTAACCAATATTCACTCATGTACGAAGTATTAAATGAAAACAAAATACCTGTTTAGGAGATAAAATGACAGAAAAACATACCAAACGTTCAGTTTCTGTTATGACAGGAGCAACTTTAGAGATATGTTGAAAACTGACAGGATCGGACCACGGACTTTTATCGATTATCTGATCAGTTGCTTGTTTAATAGCATGTATACGAAACTGATAGCTTTTTCCTGGTACCAGTTCACCTGGATGACGACTTGTCAAGTAGAAATGTTTATTTTTGAAACAACACGTTATATCTTGGCTACAACACTCCTCTACCTGTAAAGTTTAAAAAGGGGCAAATAAAAATATACTGAAATATGAATTATACTTGTAACTGCAAGTATACAACAGGCGCAGTTGTGAAAATCATACTTTTACGGATTTAGTCGCCAGTTTGCGAAACTGTTCATTGAACACAAGTACAATAATACAACACCACAATGTAAAGAGTTAGCGTGAATTGGTGAAGTATATTAGTGAACACTTGCAGGGATTGACATGTGTTAAGGTTTACAAACTCAACCATCGTATTTGCCTGATGATGATGTAAGTGTTAATTTTATACAATTACACAATCTAACTCTAGCACGCACTGTTTAATTTACATTTTCTCTATGGTTCTCTAAAATAAAAAGCATTACTTTTTCTGAAATGACAAAACAATGAATAATCAGAACTTCAGAGACGCCTTAAAGACATTCAGTTTCATAAACCTTATCTAAATAATCCAAAAGGAGAATATATTGCGGTTAAAAAAATATTTGAAATAAAGAGTTTTCTGATTTTGAAAAAATAAATTAACCAAAGAATACTTTACAAGATTTTTGAAGAAAACGGACAAGTTATCGCCTAAATCTTTCTAAGCATGCATACATACTGAGGGTGAATACACTAAGTTAGCAACTAGAGGTCTTCTTTACACCATAAATTATTCAGAAAATATACGAAATGGATTAGTACATTTGTAGTAAATAATGAAGATACTGAAATGTAATCATTATCAACTCTCATAAAAAACCATATCAACTTCCATAAGTAATTTAATCAAGCATATAGAACATAAAAATCAACTGAATCCATCATATTACAGCAGTATAACAAAGAAGAGTAAGTTTATTAGAATATAAAAGATCGGTCATGTACAAGAAACGCGTTCATTACTACACTTCACACGTAGGCGGAAAATCTATATATACAGAAAGAGAAGTTGCCAATCAACTTAAATTTAATTAAAACACTACTCAATTGAAGTTTGGGACAGTGTGAAAAGAACAACGAAAAAATAGGTAACTGGTATTTTCAAAAGAAGAAATAGAATTATAAATTATGTAGAAGTTTGTCTCAAAAATGATTAAGATACACCTGTTTATAACAGATAGACATATGTTAAAAGCGTAGAGTATGGAATAACTGCTGATTGAACAAATCTGACATACCTAACAACGGTAATATCGAAATTAAAATGAACCTGATGGAATAAACACACTCTGAATGAAATTTCGATTATAACTACTCAAGGAAGTCTTTTATATGTGATGGCATTTAAGACTTCTTGAGATCATGACTAACATCTTTAGTATTTCAAGTGAAATAGACATATCGCACCAACATCTTATTAGGCATCAACAAAAATAGGACACCAGATAACTGGAATTTTGGTAAATCTCCTTGCTGTCTTTAAACAGTCTAGAGAGTTCAATAGTGAATCTCTAGGTTCAGTACATAAAAGGAGGCGCTTAGTCGCCCTGATGTGCATTAACTATTTGTCTGCCTACATTATTAAATAGACTATTGGCAAGAAAGTTTGCGATAAATTTATTTCCCTCTGAGAGTCTTCTATCAACTGTTCTGTATACTACGATTTCTAACGCCAAAGGACGCAATAGAGTAAACTCTTCACATTTTATAGTCAGTGAGTAAATACGCTAATAGTTGAAGTTAAAAGGAATTTGAAGAATGATGAAGCAACTGTAAGGTAAGGTATGAAGAACGCAGTCCGTACGTTAACTGAATACCGGGTGATCACGTGAAAAGTCAAGAGTAACAACACATTTTCGAAGTGAGCTATGACTCTAATTCTAACCATTGAGTGGATCATAGGTATGGTTAATAACTCAGTGTATGTTACTCGATAAGCTTGGATAAACAAAACATACAACAATACGTTAGTTGTAAACGTGTAATATTAAATAGGAGTACATGAATGTAAGAAAGAAACCCATTTTTATTGTTTACAAAACAAAACGAAATTACAATTTATATTTATCTTTAAGCTGCTGACATCAGGTATAATATGTTTATTTTGCATTATATCGTTAGTAAAACAAAAAGAAGAGATAAATCATCATGATTGTTAACAATGGCAAGAAAGCTTTCAGTAGAGCAGCTTTAGTACTTACAATGTGATTCTATACACATAACAGATTGAAAGTAGAATACAGTTTGTGAATAATAAATGATACAGAACGAAAGGAAACCACAGAAGTAAGAGTAATAACAATAATAATAGTGGTAATAATATCTCTCTTATATCACTTAAACAATGTCTAAATGAACTAGTTTTTTTGACAATCCATCAAAATATTTTGACGGTTGTAGTTGTACGATACTCACTGCGATGGGGAGAAAAATTAATCTCCATAATGAACAACGTCGTAGGTTAGAATACTAGCAGTAACTAACCATTAGTTTATGCTATATAATATAATAGTCAATCAGATACTCGTGATCTGCTGGACACATTAAAATTTTCAAATGCTGTCTAAAATACACTGATATCAAGTATCAAATCTGGGGCAGTTGAACCGCACTAATCCCCACACGCAATACAATACAAAAAAGTGCGTGTTTATTTAACTGCGAGACAGCTTACATAGATACTTATCTCCTCTCCCTTTTTGTATTTTTTTTCCATTTGTTCTGCTTCATTTCACACTTCCTGTATCCTAAGGGCAGTTACTGAGTCCCAAGCATTTCTGATCAACTTATAGCCTAGATATGATATATTCATATTTCATATAAACACAACTTAACTACAATTTATAAAATGTGTTGCACGAAAACAACAGAATATTTCGGATGTTTTTCGCACCTTGTAAATCCGGTATACTTGAGAAATGATATCAAGTCGCTCACAGTTGGACAATATACAATAAAGTGCCTACCACTCAATTGTTCCACAAGTTGTATCAGTTAAAACGTGTACAACCATATCATTATATAACTCACTTTGAACCTAAAACAATTAGAAACAAGACGTTCGATGTACAGAATACAACCGAACAGTTGATAGACAGTTAGCACACCTGAGAAATGAAATATTGCGACCAAGTAAATCAAATGTTCTATAAGTTTTCATAATACAGTAACACAATAAAGAAACAACAAGAAATGAACCTAATTAGCTCATTTCTTAAATCAAGTTTACCATTACGTTACAGCAAATAAAGAAGCAGTTTTATATTTGTTGGTTCGCTGATAACCTCCATGTTACCTTTGATTCGTTGTTTGACGGTTCGAATACAACCATTTTACCTATGTTTTGATATACAGGTAACTTTCTAGTTTAATGTTATCCTTTTCAAAATTGATTTAGATACTATGCGAGAAATATGTACAATAAGTGGATTTTATACATTTTGACTGTGGGATAGTCACTGTTCATTTAAAGACAGTAAATTGTAACAAGTTGTGAGCTAAACTATAAAGTTCAACAACTCAACATAGGAGACGGTTCACAAGATATCATAATTATTATTCCCACTGTTTGAATGGATTTCAAAGCATACCACTTGGCGACTTTTCAGATGGCACAATAAAACCACCATTTGAATACAGCAGTAATCCTAACGCTGAAAAGAGACTATATGAATCGGACAAGGTAGGTACAACATACTTAACATTGATGAAATTTAAAGTATAGAGACAACAATATATGGTTGGATATGGATACCTTACACCAATGACTGTAAAGGAAACCAAGTGCTTGGAGGCATTCTATTCACTAAACAATGTTGCATCGATCAAAATGGTAACTAGCTAGCTATCTTCCATATTACACAACCCTTTCCAAAATTTTGTAAGATATCTTGATGAGTTTAAAAGAGGACAAAGCATTTGTGTTAAGTTTGGACGGCAGGTATCACCAAGCAAGTAAAGCCGAAATAGGACTCATAGTATCATTCAAGCACTTGCTCCAGGCAACAGAAACCTATTAATTAGGTTAAGAAAAATGAGAAGTAGAAATAATTAGTCACTTGATGTGTTACATGTTAGGACTATGTAGTCATTGCATACATATTTACTCGATATTTGAAAACTGCGTACAAAGTGTCCGATAGTTATGCTAGAGATGATTCCTTGAATATGATAACCACACACAGGATTTACAATCTTCTGTTTTATAATTGGTAGGTGTATATTTTTATGAGCCAGATGACCTTTCATAAAAGTAGCACAATAAGATATGAATAGAGTTAATATGACTCTATACATTGATTTCGAACTCATAGCAAAACTCTGCACCGATTAAAGAAAGTACTGAAGCAAATTATACCACGCTAACATCGGGTTAGTAATCAGCATACTGTTATTTTTTCTGCTTAACTTTTTATTATTAATTGTTGATACTGGGTGATGATTGGAGGTGAAATGAAAGTTTAGACTGCGGTAGGATTCGAATCAGTAAGCTACCGGCTGCCGATCCAGTGCTCTTCAAACTGAGCTAGGAGACCTTTGTGTTGACCACATCTTAATTTCACTCCAATCACTTCAATAAACAGTGGCAGCATTTGATCACCTGAACGTTAGTTTCAAAAGGAGTACAACAGATACAGGCAGCAATACTTTGAACAAATTATTCATTTAGAATGGTTAATAAAAGCATTACCTCACTCTCTGCACAAAAAGAAAAAATATAAATATTTTAATCAGGTCAACTAACTGTTTCATCGATAGTAGACCGGTGAATCCAACCATCCGACTCTGGAATACGTGATCTGTGAATAATACGATAAAAATCACAGTTTACTGAATTCCAAATAATAAGTACAGCCAAATTATCGCCAACAGTTGTAGCATTGGGTTTTTTAAGTCGTTCATCTGTTAAATAACAGAATAAATGTAGAATAGAAATTTACTAAAACAAAAGACAAAGAACAGGAGATTTCCTCATGGAAGAGAAAACAACAATAAATTGGACGCCTTACCAAATACGTGACAAGTTGTAGGTTATATCTAGTATCTGCGTGTGAATAATACACTGCTACTTATTACCAAACGAAAGCAAACAGAATGTTAAACTCCATTGTGTAGGATAAAAGCCTATGGTACTGATTTATTAAAACTTACACAATTCAGATACCTAGCATTGGAAAAACGATTATCACGATGGATTTCTTGTCGAATGATCCTTAACAGAAAGCAACCTTTAAATAATACGATTAAAAAATAGTGATAGTTATATTTCTCCGAAGATGAGGTGTAAACAACCCTGAAATTATCGAGTCATCTCTGAACGCAGACTTACGATTGCCATTAATTTTCGACACACATTAAAAGATAAATTGTTATAGTGTGCAGTAGGATTGCCAAGGTCTCCATGAAAAGCCTTAAATCCCTGAAGCCGTTCACAATCAATCGTGTAGCACTGAAGTTTCGTGAAAAAGCAATTAAACCAACGTGTAAAAACTGGCTTAGTTGAAGAGATAAAAAATCAATAAGATATTCTATCCTAGAAAGGCCTAGAAACAGTTAAGGTCATTATAAATATAATATTTTGACGTTGCAATATAGCTTCTATTATTTTACCACCTTTCCCACTTATCGAGGAACTGAGTGACCACTAAGGGTGAAATCTAAAGGTTATGGTTCAAGTGTCTACATTCAGAATATATCAGGTGGTGACTACAAGGATATAACATTTGGTAACGGGATTATAACATAAACAAAACGAAATACTATCTCTTGAATAACCTTTTTTTCTGTCACAGTAAACTAAATCTAAGGACAATTAAAACTGAAAACGGGCATATACTTACATGCGTTTCTTGAGGAGGATACATTGAGTACAGGTGAGGAGACAATTTTTTCAAAATTTGAAGGCCATTCATTGAATCTGTGCACTTGACTTCGACGCTTACGAAGTAATACAGTTTCAACGTGGTCAGTACTTACCACTTCATCATCTGTTCCAAATGAATTTTCCAATAATTCCCCATGAGAATACATATATTCACTACTAGGCAGATCAGCATATCTTTGATTAATCACTAAAAACAAGTGAAACAAAAAAGTAAAATGATAGTTTCATCAGGTTATTTAAAAACTAAATATGTGCGTTATTAAATTATAATGGAACTGTAAACATATTTCTTTTACTTGTCAAAGAAAAGAAAACGTGATGGAAACGCCTAGACTTAAAAACACAATTTAAGTTTCTTCCAGGAAAATGCAGGATGACTGAAGTTCTTTAAATATTCAGTCATGAAAAAACTAGTGTCAATGTCCAAATTATGCTTAGTAGTGAATTTCACTAACGGAATATATATTGTCCAAACGATCTGTCCTACTGATATGAATCAATGTTCACCCAGATGTCTTCTGTATTCTGACATTGGATCAAATATTTCGGTTCAATGTGTTATTGTAATGATAAAACTGTATTGTGCATCAGTGGTTCGTTCAATTCGTAACACGTTAAGGTGTTCAGCGTTTATCAACAACCCAATACATCATCATAGTTTAAAATATCCTGAACCTTTTGCATACTAGGTAAACATAAAGAGTGGTTTTTCAGCCATGTTGGGGAGAGGGCAAATACATGTCAACAAAGTGCGTGTTAGTCAAAATGTCATAATTCATAACAGCGCATAGAAAGGAACTCAGGAGAAAGAGATGAATTGAAGTGATCATGTCAACAGTGGTAAAGCAACTTTAAGAAGATGAAGGAAGTGAGGTAAGAAAGCGAGAAAAAGGCACAAGGATATTAAGATACTCAAGACGTAGGAGAAAAAAAAGCTGTAGATGCACCCATATCACTGAGGTCAAATTTCACTTATTCCCCCCCTCCCCCAGAACGCTTCAACAACAGATTTTGGTCGTTCCCCTGATAATATAATAATAATTATTATTTAAAATTTAGGATGATTAGAACATTGCCAGCAAACTACTAAATGCAGATTTAACAGCCAGTAAATTCTGTTACAAAATGGGAGTTCTTCACAACCTTTAATAAGAACTTTAGTTACTGTAAAAACCCTGCTTAGAGCTACAAATTAAAAGCTCCTATCTCAGACGTTTAATACTCTCTTGAACGATGTTATATGAAGAGAAACACCTTGAGTAAATTAGTAACTAACACTATCTTCTCAAACGCAATATATAAGTTAAACACAATTATTCACTGAATACTGTTGCATTTTGATTTGATTAATAATTATTGGCTTAGAAATAGTTTGCTTTTTTTAATACCTAGATTGTGAACCATCCCAGCATGAAATGCCACGATAGGGTTATGTACGCATATTATGCAGCTAGTCTAAATAAAGAAATATCAGTCAAATGTGATAGTGTACCGAATTGTTAATGATACCAGACGGAATGTTTAAAAATGATTTTAAAAAAATCTAATACAAAAATATCAACCAGCTTTCACAAAGATAATATGATAACTTATCAATGATTGTTTAACAAGAAACTATTTTAGTATATTACATGTTTATTACACGTTATGAATGAATTACGATCGATAGGCGAATACCAAACCATAAAAAAGTTATATTCACCCGTTGTAAATCCCTTAAAAAGTTTTTAACAGTAATTATCCTTGGAAAATCGAAGACACCCTAATGAAGACGTCCGAAAAAGCCGAAACGATAAGTTTAGGATAAGTTATTTCAGTATAAATGTTAAATATCAATAAATAGTGAAAACGCTTATAACGACTTAAATCTAACACTAATCTCTTGAAACGTGATCCACTAGGATGCTGAACTACAGTAATGATGTATTACGAAATGAATGCTTCGCTGTATTCCGGCTGTTGACTAACTAAGCTGAATTGTTTTGAGCGATAAAAACACTAAGAAAGGCGCTGCATACAGAGTAGTAGATCAACGTCATCAAGACCGAAATTAAGATATCGAAAAATAATGAAATATTCCGAGCAATGATTTTGTAAGAAACCTTTAAAAGCCTTCCACTAATTGCTTACCGTTGTTTGCAAAGAGAAGGCACAACAGAAAACCACAACAGGATTGTCGATGATTTTCTTATTGAGTTATTCATTTGACAAAAATTAGAGTCACTGCGTCAAATGGTCCGTAAAGCCCACTCAGGAAGTTGCGATTAGTTAGGAGAAGACAATTCAACAAAACTACCGTTTAACTTATATCAACAGTTGACAAACTGGTCTATCCAATTCTTTCAGTCAACCCAGGGTTACCAAGATAATCAGTATAAAAACGTTTCAACCCACGACAACAGTGTCTAAAGACAACAAGTGACGACCTTAACCGAACTCAAAAATATCCCTCCGCACTCTAGACTTAGTGAAAGATATTGTCATACGATGCCAGCAGTCTTACGGTAGACAGTGGTAATTGAACACATATATCTCTCAATGGCCATGTGTCGTAAGCCTACAGTAGAACTACTCACATCAAAATGTTGAATACATGACATTTTACTAAAAATAAGACTGATTTCAAAAGAAACTGACAGCTATCGAAGTTATACTAGAAAATCCTGGATATTCTGAAACCTGAAGAGAAAATGAAACCTGCTTGGTAGCCCGATAAAAATTACCTTAACACCAAGCGGTAGACAAGTCAAACAGCTTAACTTTAGAATGAATTAATAACACTAATAGTTGGTTGAATAGTTTGAAAACTATTTTAGCACGAAAATCAAACACTAAGGTATTTAAAAAACCTACACGAATATGCAGAGGCATTAGACTCAATTAATTTAAAATATCGTCTAAGTATTAGCTGTTCTCCAAAATACAAATTACAACTGTACACTCCGTAAGCGTTTGGTCGAGAAGTGGCAATATCAATGGTAAACAATGAAGAACAATTTAACTCATGATCAGCTACACTGAAGGCTAATAACTGAAGCGGTTCCCCATCCTTCCACCATTCCACCCGTAGTATGTTCAATAAGCAAGAGATATTTAGGCGACTTTGCAAATGACCTTGACTATCTGCCGCAGGTAACAAAAGATCAAGGTATTGTGCAACTTTGCTGTTGTACAAATCAAGATCTTCAGATGATAAACATTTCAATTGTCTTGTATCTCCAATTTTCGTTACCATCAATTCAGTTCCCAGTTGGGTAGGAACTGAGTATTTTGATAAAGCTGAATCAAATCCATCTAAAAGCAGAGGGAAAAATAGGGTACTTAAATTTTTAATGACCCTAATATACTCATCAGTGTTGATGGATGTGATATGCAATAGATATGGAAAGGAATGAGAACAGAAATGGTTGATATATATATATATATATATATATATATATATATATATATATATATAATTATTATTGACAAGAGATAATTATGACATACTAAATTTAACATCACTAGTTGAACGTAATCTCACAAAATAGTAAGGTGGATTAATTTTCAACTCTTCGAGAAATTGAAAGAGAACTAAAACAGAAGCATATGACGAGAAAGAACGGACCCATCCATTTACATCGGAATTAACCCTTAGTCATGTAATTAAAGAGGCTTCACAACGATTTTTATTATCTGAGTAGTGAGAATTATAGTACATCATCTTATAAGTTGGTAAAAAGAGGTAAGCCACAAGACGGATTCCAAATTGTGAACTTCAATTTTCAAGTCTATCACTTTCACAACTGGAGCATGAGATGAAACAGGCAATCAGGTTGTTTCAGTCCAATCATTAGGAATTTTGTTCAGCTGTCAAATAGATGAGAAACGAACTGAATATCCACTCATAATCCCGTTGACCACTCAAAAACTTCATTCGGAAGATGAATCATGAAATTCAGCCAATAATCCAAATATCTTTTGTTCAAAACCCGTGACTACCCGTTATCTTTCAATTGAAAGCTTCATCTATATCCGCTAATATTAATCTGTTATTCAAGGCTGATTTCTGTGGTCTAACAAGAATTTGAAAAATAAGCCAAACTGTAAACAAAATATGTCTGTATTAATAATAATAAATAGTGTAACTTAAAACGGTAAACGTTTATTTACAAGACTATGAGCTACACTTGCTGTGTGAGGGCTTACGATACTACCTGGTTGTATAAGCAGAAGAAGGTGAAGCGATAAAAGAATAATTGTTTCATCGATAACTTGTATGGTGGACCTACAACTCAATGGTTAAAACAGATGACTAACGAACAAGATTTGGGCAGCCAGGTAGTATCAATAGCCCCTACACAATAGGTGTGACTCACTGCCTACTGCACAGATGTGCAAACGGTGGTTGAGTGCATTTTGTTTAGTTTTACACTGTATGGTACACTAGATCATCTTACATCAATATTATATAGCGAACGACGAAAATAGATATCTAACATGAAAAAGAATTTAGAGATGGAAGCATGTACAGATACACAAGATAAAATTTATCAAAACTACGCACTGCACACATTCATGTCAATGTAAATTATATAAAGTATGAATAGCACAGACAAACAAAATGAAAGAAAAACATGATAAGTAAGGAAAATAAAGGCATTTTTAATTTAAATTCCAACTGAAAGGATTGACCTTAAAGTGAATACAATCACTCAAAAACTGAGATTTAAAACCAAGTGAAATTATTTTTCGCACCTAATGGCATACAACAAACAGAAGATGGTTTAGTGATACAATCAAACATTCAATAACTTGGTATCATGTACATGTAGGGGTAATTTTAAAACATATACGTCATACTCCACACCTTTGATTGATCATGACTTTCTGCACACTTACGAGTAGACAAATGAACTGAAAGCAAAAAGGGGTATTTGTAACCCGCTAACCAGATGTTTTTATTTCTTTTCTTCGGTACAACAGATGAGGAAAATTGGTACTCACAAACCGTGCATTGTTTGTGACACAATTCGTGTATATATGACTGACTGACAAAATCAACGTAGAACACCGTGCAAGAGTACATCGACTCAAATTGCCACACTTCACAGTAGTATACAATGAATGGGTGGATAGAAAATGATTTATATCAAAAAGGCACAGTATTGTGAGAGAGAATGAATAATCTGAAGATAAAGGTTAGTGTGAATATTCACACTCTAGGTGTCAAGGCGCGAATAAGTCTGCGCTATTGTCACCGATTTGCAGCCATGTCACTGAGACTTCTCAACCACTGATCAATTACCTTCCACACACACCCAACTAGAAAGTCGACATCACCCCACACAACTCAGACCAACACTCAGAGACTTCATCAACTACTGTCACGTCTTCATCTGGTCACCCTGAACCCTCTTCCAACATAATCAAATTTCCTCTAGCACGGCACGTCGATGTAGGCTGTGGTTCGGAATGCGCAGTACATGCCAAAGATATTTCAGTTGAATAGATCTCACAACCTCATCAGTTGACTTCCTCGTCTTGCCTAGTGCCCTTCGCCTGACTTCCATAATGCTCACATGCTGATACCACCAAACACGAGCAATGCTGCGAGGATGTCTATGATAAAACACCTTCAGCCGATTCGTGTTGTCTACTTTTAACGGCCATGTCTCACAGCTGTAAAACAGGATGGATAGTTGGATTTTTCGCCAGCTGGTGTCACAGGTGACGCAAGTTGGTAAATGTGCCTTCTGTAGCTGAGTTGAGATTTCGTCAGCAACCGGGCTGTTTCAGCTTATGTAACTTACCAAGTAAGTGAAGTGGCCAACGCATCCCAACACTTCACTCCCTATCATTAAACTGAGAGTACTTGGAACAAACTAGTCACGGAGCATCATCTTACATTTAACAGGTGCGAAACATATGCCAAACATACACTGATTGGTCATAAAAGAGCAACCTATTTTTAGTTGAATTCCGGGGTTTGTGGGGATTTAGAGATTTTTCAAGTTGGTACTCATCATGGACTGACATCAGTTAGAGGAACATCGGAAACCTGGGAGCATTGGACAGGTGTTTCATCCAGTGTTACCAGGTTTTCAATGTTTCTCTAACTGATGTCAGTCCATGATGAATACCAACAATTTTAAGTTATTTAGTCCTGAATGTACGCAGAATTATTTTTCAAAATGCATACTATGTAATAAAGTGAACTCACCTTTAGTGAACAACGATTGTTCAGGTAGAACAATCATGACTATGGAATCCATCCACATGTCGGTACCATTTTCGATGATGCACTGATAGACACCGATATATGATGAATTCATTGAATCAATTAACAAGGTATGATCTGAGAGAACAAGGTAGAAGAAAGTAATGGTATAGTTTGTCATATTCTCTGAAATTCATCAACTATATGTATTAAAATGAAAAATACATTGAATTCGTAGTTATTTCGCAAACCGTTAGTAAATCTAAAACACAGATTCTCTGGAGATGACAAGAATATACTTCACTTACAACCTACATCAATCAACTATGTAATTTGGAGGTTTGTTAGGAATCATTTATAGACTTCAGGTTGATATTCATCACAGAGTGACACCAGTTAGAAAAACACTGAGAACCTGGAAGTAGTGGGTAGCTGTTTCATCCTGGTATGGGACCTTCAACAGTGAGCACCTATGGCTCCTCCAGAGTCAAATTCAGAAGCTTCAGGTTCCACAGCTAGTACGCTATCACCGAGCCACTGGGTCGGAATATAATGGTTCATATTTCTTACTTGCAGTTCTCACTGATGACTAGCTTCGACAGGCGATTCCCAGAGTTCTAATGAGAAGTCACGAGGACAGGTACTCGACGGAGGCATTCGATGAAGATAGCGGTATCTGGTGGACTGACAGAATAAGGAAATATAGATCACCGGATTCCGACCCAGTGGCTCAATGGTGATGTTCTGAACACGGAACCTGGTCCTGGGTATCAATCACTAGAGAAGTTACTGGTGTGCACCAGGAGGAAATAGCTGTCCAGTGCTCCCAAGTTTCCAATTTTTGAGATTGGTTGACTTAATCTCGCAGAATTGTATCTCATGGTTATGCCCAGAGTGCCTAATATTATTCGGTAAAGTGTAACATCAATAATCCCTTAAGTCATAAACTGATGTTCGCACGCATGAAGAGTGGAAGGAAAAAGGCCATGATATTTTTAGTTATGTGGCATAAATCAATGAGTGGAAAGAAAGAGCTGAAAACCGATAGCAGTATGTAACAACTACAGATACTCAGTCAATTACCCCAAAACTTGTAGACCACACCTTGGTAAAAGTATACAATACATGATGTGTACACTAATAAAAGCAACCAAATACTTAGCTGGGTATGCTACATATTGTAAGGGAAAGCCTATAAATCAGGAAATATTAACACGAAATATAAGAGAAAGCGAAAACGTAAAGCAAGAAAAAATTGGTGAAAAAAATAAAACTATAAGGTGTGAAAAGAATGAACATCTGGTTGAAAACACATTACAACCAAAAGACAACCAAGGAAAAGAGCAGTGTCATATATTACCATTATTATCTTTACAATCGTTATCATTGCCCCTATGACGATGAAGATATTAAACTATGTTAGTAACAATAGTGTTGTTTGTTTCAATTACTTACATACAACTGTAAGATACATGCATTTTACAAGAACAACACAAATACAATACCATTGAAATTTCACTTCTCATGTTCATTGTCAAAATGAAAATAACACAAAATTATGATACATGATAGCACAGTCAAACAAAAAGAATAACAGAAAAAAAGAAGAACAAATTAACAAAGGGAAGAAGTACAAGCAAGCGATAGATACCCTGTTTTTCTTCCTTTTATAGCCACATACATATCCTGTTTAAAAACCGAAAAAAAACACAAGCAAAAGGTAGAGAATTAAAAAACGAGCTAAATGCAGAAAAAGAGTATGGAATTAAGAAGGAACACAGAAAAGGCAAGTAGTTGACGACAAGAAGAATAATCATGAAGACGGTATGTAAGTAAACTAGTTAGAGAAAACAAGGAATAATGCGAAAGGAAATACCCAGAAAACATGACAGCCTATATATATATATTTAAGGCCTGGAGACCTGGGAATCTTACAATACGGTATATGCACATACATAGTGCTTACACATTTAAACCGAACATTTTTCCTACCCTAACACTCCATAAGCACAAAATATCCATCTTTTTTCATACACACTCAAACAGGAATGATCACTGTTACTTCAAATGAAAATTTACCATAAATCCAAAATAGAAATGGAACATACTACTTTCATAATTACTAAGAGTCCCAGATCAAGAATGATTTTAAAAATAAAGAAAATCCAAATCTATGAATCATGCGCCAACTGCGCAATGACTAACAACTCTAGTGAAACGTTCCAAAGATACAGATAAATACAAGTCAATGTAAAACCTTGCATACATGTGCATCGGTCAAAGTTGTCACAAGTTACAGCAGTATGCATTAAAACAGAGAAGGACATCAAAGTAAACAAACGCGTGTAACAGCAAAGAGAGAAATACATGAAGGCGAATAAAATGCTAAGGACTTGAAAGATAAGAAAGAGTTTACATATTAGGGCCATTATGAACAATTCTTAGTCATGTCATCAAGCATCTCCAACCATTGATTCCTATTATCTCGGAGACATCAGCCACACAGCCTACGCGACTAACATCAGTAATCAGCCACTTCATGACCTCGTGCTAACCAGAGCTTTCTTCCAAATCAATCCTACTTCGGTTGACACTGAACGTCGAGAAAGGTAATGGCTCAGGAAGGACAAAGCATGGCCAAACTACAGCAGTCAGTGAAGGTTTATAGCTTCATCGATTGACTTAGCTTTATTGTCTGGCACCCTTCGCCTAAACCCAACATCGTTCACACGCTGATTGCACTATACGTCAGTAGTGTTGTGGAGACAGAGTAAAAAAAACGCAGCCTTTTCACATCAACTTTCGACGGTCGTTTTCAGCCGGATAGTAGGATGAAGCGAACGGTTGTACAGCATAATTGCCTTTTAATAGGTAGCCAGATACTTCAAACCAATCAAGAAGAGTAATTTTAAGAACTGTAAATCGCTGACCATGAATATAGAGACCAGTTCAGTAAGACGTTATATGCTTTGCTAGTTTCAGTATCGTTCATTTAGAACTTTGCGGAGCTGTGGGTCATTGGTTTATCCATTCGACTTCCCACCGATGGGTCATGAGTCAGAACACTGCTTGACTTACTAAGGTACGGACAACTACGTAGTATTCTTGACTCACACAATAGGCATGGCTCACTGCATACGGCAGGAAAAATAACGTAGTTGCTAATTAGATTTCGATTTCAAAATTTTGCGAACAAAGCCCTAGACATCACTTTAAAATCAAATTCCAAGGCTGCTTCAAACAGAGGTAACTTATCGTATAAGATTGGACCAAACACTTGGTTAACAATTTGCACAAGCAACCCGGATAAATACTACAGTCTAACTACCAGTACGTCAACTCGAAGAGGTAAGCAATAAAATTTCCAACTAATGCACAAAAATTAGGATGAATAAACGCAAAATTCAAGATACTCATTTTCTAATGTCCCAGACATACAAGACAAAATCAATGTAGAACCTTGTACACAAGTGCATTGCTTCAAGTTGCCACAATTCGCCGTAGTATACACGGAACAGGTGGATAGAAAAAGACTGATATCAAAGTTGATAAAGTTGTACGAGAGAATAAACAATTTGAAGATAATGATAAGTGCAAATATTTAAGCTTTAGAAGATGTCAAAGTGTGAATACATCTGCGCCACTGTGACCCATTTCCACAGTGTTAATACGTACGTTAGACGCTACCTTGTATACCAATAAAAAAGTTGTTACACCGTCATATAAACAATAGAGGTAGCTAGGAAAACAGATGTATGTATATAGCTCAAATAACTATCAACTTATTAAACTCGAATGGTGACCAATTCAAAACTACCACATGAATGGAGACCATAAGACAGAACTGTTGGTGAACCTATTCAGAAATCTAGCACACATATATTATTCACTTAAAATACAATTTACATTATCAACTGAAAGTCACAAAAAACTGAATACCATAAAATATGAAATGTTGATGCCAGACGGTTGAAGACAATCAGTTTCCATTCAAGATGCAAAACTTACGTGGATTTGTAGGTGATGTAGTAGACTGTCTACGAATTCCATTGAAATACCATGTCAGTGTAGAATCAATTCCCAAACTAACGCAGGATAGATTTACAAAATCTTCCAAGTTTGCTTTAATTTTGCCAGGATAAACAAGCAGTTTAGATGAAGCTTTAAAAAACGAGATAACTGAATAATTAGGTTAAGCAAAGTAAAAATAATGCAAAAATATTTCAAAAAACAACCACTATGTATAAAATAAACAAGGTTATTAGGAAAGAAACATGGAATAGCTGAAGTGATGAGGTGGCTAAAAATACCCCAAAAGTACATTACCGACATTCTCTGAATATGATGTTCTGTCTAATATTCGTACATGCCAGACTGAATAGCTAATGTCTATAGGGAGTTATCATCTGAAATGACGACAACTAGTGGTGTCGGCCAAAGATGCTCACTGTCACTGTTCCTGTTAAACTTTGCCACAGATAATATATTAATAGACATAACCTTAGTTATGTCTGACTTCACACGGATTGGTCTATTCGTGGAGGACACCTGGTTGATTTGGAGTATGCACACGCTGACAAAATGCAGGGTTATTGGAACGCCTTGAGCAGAAATCTGAGTATATTTGCCACGCGTCTGGAACATTTTAAATGTAAGATGATGTTCCGAGACTGATCTAGAGCTACTTCCACAGGAATGCGTCGACCACTACTCTAACTTGGGGAGTTGCATTAGCTCGAACGGCTTGGCCGCTAACGGTATCTCAGCTCGGATATGGAAAGTCTATTTGACATTTATTAACCTGTCGTATCTGGCTGCTGTGAGCTACATAACTAAATGCCTGCCAAATAGCAAGTATACTGCACTGCAGTTCATTCTATTCTGTCATACGGCTGCAAGACATGATCGTTAAAAGTAGATATGAAGCGTTTACAAGTTTTCGACCACAAGGACTTTCGTAGCATTGCTGACGTTTAGGGGGATCACCCCGTGTGATGAATGTTGAAGTCAGGCGAAGGATACTAGGTAAGACAGCCAAGTCTATCGATAAGGTTGTGAACCTTAGTCGAGTGAGATGGCTTGGACATGTGGTGCACATGCCAAGCCACTGCCTATCTCGATATGCAATTCTAGGGGAAGATGAATTAGATAAGAAGAGGATTCAAGCTGGCCAGAACAAGATGTGGTACCAGTCAATGAAGTTTCTAATTATTGGTTTGAACCGTGTAGACTGTACTGTCGAGGTCTTCTCGATAATAGGAATCAATGGTTGAAGACCCTTTGTGACACGATTGAAAATCTATCACAATGGTGTAAATGTATAAACCTTTTACTGTATTCCAAGTCCTGAACATTTTGTCAACATTCATATATTTATTCTCCTACCTGTTATACTCTAATTTCTTTTTCCGTTTGTATGCACGCCACTGTGAATTCTAGCAACCTTGAATGACATACAATATTGTGCAAGGTTGCAAGCTGATTAGTATAATTTTTCAGATAATGCTAAAATTTTGTGTACCTTACTCGAAAGTGAATCAAAAATTACTTAACGCATTGAATAAAAATAATTCAAAAAATTCAACATTGAATAGTTTCTTTAATTCACTACAACCATCCTATTTTTTTTGAGTTACGAAGTACTTCTAGTGTGTATACACATTTTGTATTTTGAATGCTGATTTAAAACGTGACAGCTAGTATAAAATAGTTGATATTTTCAACCATAATGTAAAATTTCAGCGCACACTAGTAGCTTGATATCAACACGAAAAATTGAATGAATAATTTAGTGATGAGAAAAGCTAATTAAGGTGCAGTAGCATTCATTTCATACTTCTAATTAAACGGTACAGTAACGCTGTAGAAATTAAACTTGATTAATGAATGAAAGTGATACAAACAGGAGAATAATAATTAAGTTCTTCAGTATTTCTATCCATGTTTAATAGTGTAATAACCCAATAACACAAATAATGACAGGTTAACTAAAAGTAATAGAACTGATATCACCATAAAGAAAATATAACCAGGAATAAAGTATACTTCAAAGTACTAATCTTCAATTTTGAACTTAAAAATGCTTGGTGTTCAAAACACTGTAAAATTAATATTCATCAATAACTAACTACACACCCTGGCGTAGTAAACAGAAACAAGAATAATAGTGTGACTCAAATACTACATACAATTTCTTGCATTAACCAAGTATTGTATGATGGTTGATGATACTATCTGACTGCCTGACCACTGATAGGTACAGAACAATTCAGAAAGGTGACCAATCAAAAGATACAGCTTTACAATATAACTGATGAACCCATTAATTCGAATGCTTGTATTCAAACGTATGATTAACAGCTATGAATTCAACCGACTTATTGAACTTTTCAAACACCTCAGATTATGATCGTATCTAACATAAAACGTTTCATAAAGAGACCAGCACAGGACCTAGTGTGCAGTTGAGTGTGTTTTAAAAGTAACATTTGATATTTCAACTGTGATATCTCACACATAAGACTGTGAATTTATTAGATTTTTTTCTGGATTATTAAAACAACAACTACATCCTCAACACTTAGTTCAAAGAAGGTAGAAGGAAACAAACTGAGCATTACAGCTTTGTGTCATTTAGTTCAGTATGCATAATGCAAAAATTCAATCTACAAACTTTGATAGGAACTCAGGATTTTATGAACATTTCAGCTATTGTTCAATGTCAAACAGTTAGCGGATCCAGTCTGAATTCAAGTTTTCCGAAAATGTTAGGTTTCACATTATTCACGGAATCTTAAAGAATCTAATTTTCTCACCGTATGTTAATAAATCTACTTATCTGGAAATGGTTAGAAAGCAAAGCAGTTTTCGGAGCTTAAAATTCTACGTTTGCATATTGTCAATATGCATAAATTTCAATTTCGTTGAAAAATAACACGAATATGATTTTTAGAAGACTAGACTTACGAAGAATTCGTAGATAAGCATATAATGTTATCTTATCAGTTGAACAAGAGTACAATCCTTCGTCTTCATTAGTTAGATTGCGTGTATCTAAAACCCCTATCAATTAATAAAAAAAAACGAAATGAGAGTCAACGGGAAATTTAGAATTTCAAAAATATACATATAATAATTTTTTATTTTCATCTTTATGTACTCACCAAATAAAGGTTCAAATTTTTGATTTCCATTCAATTCATTTACAAAGTCATCCACTTTAGCTGCAGATGATCTTGGAGAATCGAATGAGCAAAACAATGAAATACTTTGACCTTCGTGAGCCGCTATTGAGATTGGTTTTGTACCATTGGAATCTGTTACAGTACCATACAAATTCATGAGCAGAACAGCTTTTAGTGAGGAAGTGGGTGAATCTATGTAACAATAAAGACAAATATGACCATTAAATTCATCAACATCAACGTAAGAAACAAAGAATTAAAAAATTATCATAAATCACCACTTACAGTGATTAAGGAATTCGGAATAACTCTAAATACCACCCCAGCAACCGCTTGAATAACCAATTAACTTTCTTTAGTTCGGTTGGGACTGTATTTTTCGTAAGATAGAGAAACCTAATTGGTCATTTTAGTAGCTGAAGTCATCCGTAAACCGGTTTTTCAGTTAACATCGAGTCTCTAGTTCACCAGGTCAGATACTCGATTTCCACTTATTAAGCCATCAATTACAGTTAAACTAAACATACCGAAAGTTCGAGAAACTATTTAAATAATTGCTTGTAAATATTCACAAGTAATCAATCAATGTACTTGTTTCTTTTTCTGTTAGTAACACTAGGACAAAAGATATGAACATTTCCATAGTTCCCACTTTAAACCCATGTAACCTTGTATGTTGAAGCAATCAGTGATGAGATATGTGCAGAATATCCATGTATTATCGCTGAGTTAACACTAGTTCACAAGTTCTCTGAATAACTTACAGTAGAATTCAAAATTCGCTATTAAGAATTTCTATGTTCAATAATGTTCACACAATGTAAAGAATGTTATAAATTTATACATATTTATTATTAGAACGCAAACATGGTACACTAACAGCACCAAGAAATGCGTCACACAAAATAATGTAACAAAATTATCAAGACATAAAGCGAAGGAAAGTGGAAAAATAAAGAAAAACACGATAAGAATAGAATGATTCGAAAGGCAGTCCAATATGTTTCATTCAAAACAAAACATTCATTACTTTTTAGCAGCAGAAGATATAAGAAGGCTACAGCATGACCATCACTGGTTTTTATTCTGATCCATATCTGATAACGTCTCAAGCCACTGAGTTGCATGATCTCTCGGACCCCGACAAAGGAGTCATGAGGCACCAACAGATCCTAACCCGATACAACTATCCTTCATCCCGCGGCGCCACATCATACACCGACCACCCGTCCGCTTTTTCTATCCAGTCCCAGGGCTATCAGCAAACACTGAACGGTATAGAAGCCGTTGGGAAGACATGCATAACATATGTCCAAGCTACCGAAACCGATGTTTCCAGATGACTTCACTGAATGAATGACGATCTCCATAAACAATGCTATAGAAGTCCTAACGGTAAAATATTGCTAGTCTTCTAGTATTATCAGCCTCAATTCATTAGGTTTAAAAATCTCACAATAAGACAATGAAGAGTTGCTTCACTACATACTTAGGTTTTGACTATCTGAGATAGCTGTGGTTTTGACACTGGGTGAATACTAAAGGGGATGAAAAGTGCAGGTTGGTCAGCCAGAGTTAATACGATGAAAGAATAACAGCATATTACCAATTAACATAGCGGTCGGGCGGAATCCTTGGTGATCGAAGTGAAACTAAGAAATACGGCGGTGGTTAGTTCGAATCCTGCCGCCACCCTGGTTTTCATTTCACTTTCTATCATCACTCATTTCCAATAAAATGTTAAACAGAAGTGGAACTTCTACCAGAGTTAAGTTCATATCATCAGGGTCAGTTGAGAGCTCGTAAGCAAAATGTCTATCAGAATATGACAGTGCCTTCGTTAATGCCATCCCATCTGTTAGAGCAATAACTAAGCCGTAAGACAGAAAACTTTCTTACCTTCTACAAGGTTAAACGAACACCGGCAATATTGTGCTTTGAGTGAGATAAGTAAGATATACATAGAAAGTAGAGCAGATATAAATCCTAAAAGGTGTAATGCCACTGAAATATTTGAAATCTAGATATACTTTCTCAGCGTCGGTCATTTACAGGTCCTTAGTAAAATATCTCGAACATTTACGGTCTCTTTTTAAATGCAATTCGTGAAATGAATGATTTAGAAATAGCAAACATTTAAAATATAACTACTGTTCCACTTTTAAGTTTTATCACATTCATTTACTAAAACACTAAGATGTAAAAACCACGAGAGGGAACATAGTTTGGTGTCAATAACACTGGGAAAGAAAATGCTGTTTAACAAAAGAAATAAATATATATATTTTTTAAAATACACATGATTAAGTTCTTCCTATAGTTTCGTTGCACTACGAGGTTTTGACATCGGTTTAGGCGTCATAGTTAACGCTGCTTCAAGATGAAGTTGCTTATACATACGGATCTGTGTAAATGAAGCCTCAGACTCAACTTCATACTGCTTCATAAGCTTCTTAACAGACATGTGGTTTATAAATAAAACTGTCTACGAGTTAAGAAACACAACCGCAACAGTAGAAAGTGAACATTTTGAAACAGTTAATGGGCTGAACTTCTTTATGGTTTAAGATGCCCAGATATGAAGCAGTTTACGTACAGCAACACATGAATCAAAACACTTTAGTTAAGTTTACTAGACAGCTCAACTTCAAATTACACAAATATATCACAAAAAGCAACAATGATAATGCCCCTAAGACTACAGACATCAAAGAACCTTTTAACGTAGAAACAATTCCCAACTACAAAGATACAGAAAAGTTACACCCGTTTTTTGTTTTTTTTTCTTACCAAGATTTCAGATAGTAGCAATAAGATATCACTAAGTTACGGAAAAAAAGGCTATGATGAATAAGTATCCAATTACCTGGAAATATAGACATTAAACGAACAAAGGATTCAATCAAAAACTTAGATTACCTATATCACCTAGAGAACCTTCGTTGACGTCAGTAGGACTCAGATGAAGATTATAAGTTACTAATTCTCAACAGCCCAATGTTTCTCAAAAGAATAAGACTCTGATACCAAGAAAACTGACTACTGAACAGGCGGAAATTACAGGGTTCATTCGTTCGGTTGACACTAACACCGTATGAACACCTATCTATCCTCGGATTACTCAAATGTGTTCCTTGAGGTTAGTGAACCTATGAGCAAACTGCTCGTGATTAAAATGTGTGACTAAACAATGATTTACATCACTTACTAAACCGATTAATCATTCCGACTACCTATTAATCACTTTTCAGATACAGAACGCGAAATTCCACCGGATAAGTTCTACAAACAATGGTCATATCAAGGAGTTACTTCAATCGTGGATCAATAAAGACATGGATTCCAACATATTCACTCACTAGTCAATATATATATATATATATATATATATATATATATATATATATATATATAAGGTGCGTAGAAAGAACAAAATTAGTTGGATAAACGTAATCAATGTCAGAAAACAACACGAAGAAGACTTATGAATGAATGTATGCATAAAAAATAATGGTAGCGTAGCAAGAAGAATAATAGTCAGTTTCCACGATGTTTTGTGTTTAATCACACTTGTGTTAAGCGTGCTAACTTTGAACTAGTTTACAATACAAAATATGTTATCACAATAAATGTGAATCTTGGACGCTGTAGTAGAATGTGACTTTATGCTAGATTTCTTTATATGATATGATACACAGTCATAGAGTATTATCTGCTTCGAAACATGTTATCATTCGAAGATCTATCAATAAGTATTTGAAACCACTAACTAACGTATGCTTAGAGAGGAATATTAAAATCATGAACAACCACTATTTTCCATCATGCGTATTTCGTTTACCATCTTCCATATTTCACAGAAAAAACGCACACTCAGTGTTTTGCACAATGAGGAGGTGGTTTCTTATGAAGTAAGTGTCTACAAAGAACGCAGTCTATGAACAGCCTAAACCGAATACCATCACATAATTAGAGCGTAAACTAAAATAACACTATAGAGAACTCTTCTGGTATACAAAATAAATTAGTGCAAACAAAAAACACATATCTACACATAAAAACAAGTAGAAAAATATGATGAAACTTATCGTGATAGAATTGTTGAAAGAAAATGAAATACAAGGTATATGAACACATAAATATATAAGAAAAAACAGATTTCTACCAAGCAGGATTCACAAAATAGAGAGATTACATTCTACCAATTAACGATGGCGACAGACTAACGAGCAACAGGTTTTTTTAAAAGATATATATGATTAATATGTATCATCAGAAACAAAAAGATACATTCATTCACAAGAAATTAACCGTTTTTCTATTAAGTTCGGGTTTCTAATGGTTTTCTCTTTATAAGAAAAGGTAGTATGAAAAAAAGAAATATTTACCACTACTGCAGGACACAGATACAAGATTGAAAGAAAATGCCGACAATTCATATTTCCCTTCTACTTATATTACAAAATATACTACTTGCTAGCTGACCAATCGGCAAACTGGCTAACAAGGATTAAATAAACACTGACTTGTATTCAGAAGCATAGCCATTATAAAGGTGTAGAACCTTTAATAGCAAGAGACAGCAAGTCATTTGCACTAAAAAATAAAGATATAAAAATAAGGGAAATTCAGAGAAAAAAACCGCAAAAAACTTATTCCAAAATGTTACACACATTGGAGATAAAGGCTTTTTATTTAGTCTGAAAGGCAATTAGACCATCATTAGCATACATGCCAGCAACAGCAATAAAATAATGAGACTGTGCAACTGTCAAACTGACGTAATTATCAGGTGATAACGGTTAATAGAGTTGAATAAGATGAGCATTGGGTAAATGGACTATGGAGCAAACATATTTCTAAAGTTTCAATAAGGTAGAAAAATTAATTTCTGACGTTTCGTGACCACGTAGAAGTCACTTCTTCAGAGAGATAAATATATTTCCTTCATAACGGTTGAATTTTTATTTTTTTAAAACGGCAAAATTAGAATAACCATCCTCTTAATCATCGCTATGTTTAGTTATCCGCTGGATTACGCAATGTTATCCAACTAAGCACTGAAATACGATTTCGTTATAGTTACCAAATACTGAGCAATTTTTTTACTCTACTCAGTAGATATTGTGATAAGCACTGGAAGGAAAACTAGTATGACGAAATAGGTACAGATATACATACATCTTTCACAT